TTTATTTTCATTTTTAGCAAACGACCCGCATTTTTGCTATACCGACAAAGGAGAAAATTACAGGGGAACAGTGAATATCACTCGACGTTTTGATAAATGTTTACCGTGGTCAGAAGTCAAACACTGCCCAAGTAATACCTATAAGCCGATGTAAGTCTGTAGTAAATTTGTAATTTTTTACTGGATCTGGATAAAAGAATATGTTTTAAGCAGTACTTGAATTTTTTCGACTTTCTTAACTATGCTATCGTGCATTTATAAATCATGTTTATGAATACAGTGTTAAAGTCAGCATGTCTTAATAACAATTTTCCAGGGATCTAGATGACGATCTGCTCGGTAACTATTGTCGGAATCCTGGTCACGGCACCAGACCTTGGTGTATTACCAACAAGTTTTTGTGTACTCGTGATTACTGTGATGTGTGTGGAATCGGTACAGTATTACATTTGTATAATATTTGAAATTTCATTCTACAATCATGAAATGTTTTAAGTATCATGTTAATCAGTACCTATGGCTTTTAGTAAAAGAAAAATTGCATCATATATATGAGGTACATATATTTACATCAACCTTAATATTCATTTTTCGTCTTATTAAGAAAAGTGCTACGATATATTTGACGATTGTGGAGAAAGAACAGTTGAAATATCGAACTGTGAACTAGACCCTGAACTAAAACGAGGTTGCAGATTGTCGTGCAATATGTGTGATAGACAAACACAAGATGGAGGTAAATAGTGCTATAATAGCATTCAGGATTTCTTGAAATCAACAATTTGTGTTATATTGCAAATTTGAAACTGTAGTTATTTTTCAAAACTAAATAAACCCTGCTTAACCTATCATACTGCAGATGAAAAAAATCAATTTTTTTTTTTTTTAAGTTGGAACAGTGAGATGTTCGAAGCCAACCATTCCATCCGACTCTAAAAGTGAATCATTGAAGGAAACATATTTTGTTGATGAAACTGTTGAACTGACTTGCGAATCAAACGACTTTGAAAAACAGAAAATTACCTGTCTAGCTGATGGCTCTTGGTCAAACGCTGGCTTTGTTTGTGGACGTAAGATTTTTAGGCTTCAGCTTTTTTTCCTTAATGTTTACAAACCTAAGATAGAGCATAATGTATTCTATCCTATAATTGTATTTGAATTGAATATATATATTATGAATTTTTGTAGTTTGAAAAGAGATTGGACATTTAATGTATACATGTATAATAACTATTGTGCAATTATGCAAAACAAATACAGGTTGTAAAACAGGATGGACACCGTTCCAGGGCAATTGCTATAAAGTTTTTGAAGAGGAAGTGGACCGTAGCACCGCAGTCACGCGTTGTGCGGATGAAAATAGTGCAAAGCTTGTCTCCAGTAAAAATATCCAAGAGAATAATTTTTTAAGAAGTTTAGTGTAAGTTGACTTGCTTCCCTAAATTAGAATCTTATGCATAATAATCGCCACATATATACTTGTCACATTAAAATTAAAATGGTTGAGTTTTGAATTGTATTACAGACAAGATGGCGTCAACTTTTGGATTGGTCTTGAAAACGGGGCCTGGCCAGATGGAGAAAAAGTGCAGTGGACTAATTACAAAAAGAGTAAACTTTATATATATATATATATTTAAGTTCTTTGGCTCTGATGTAACATTGTATTTAACCTGCAATGATTTTTTTTCATGCCAGGTGAAAGATCTAAATTCAATGTCATTAACAAGTATGACTAATAATTGGTTAGGTACTTCAAAAAGCTGTGCCTACATGTCTGACAGAGATGGAAAATGGCGAGGAATATCTTGTGGTTCAGCATTCTATATATCTTTTGTTTGCACCTATTCACCACCAGGTATGTATTTATATTTTAAACTACATGTGGTTGATAGTTGTGAATGTTATCCAAAATAAAATCATTAGAATATAAAGAAGATGGGGGAACAAGGCGGGTAGAATGCCTATAGAGTCCGGTATTAAGAAATATCCAGTATGTGAATTGAGTATTTCAATTAACCTCAAATTATTGAAATTTTTGAAATTATGAGAAAAAAAAACTTTTTTGAGAGAAAAAAATCTCATAAATAAATTTCTTTCATAAAATTGATAGGTGGTATTCGTGGGATTCGAACTCTAGCAATAAAAATCCGACGTATCAATAGCATACTGCTTTGAGACTAACGCGTTAACCGCTATGCTACACGCGTTAACTCATGGTGATTTTGGGCATTTAAATCATGTTTGTGATATGACATGCGACTTAATGGACTTAAAGTATTTCTCAGAAAGATGTGAATGTTGAGACATAAAAGTGTATTTTTAAGGTATAGTGGGTCTTCGCTCCATGTTTTTGTAAACCAAAAATTGTGTATTTTATTGCAAACTTTTAGGATCATCTTTCAGAAAAATGGAGCGAAGACCCACTCATATTGAAAAATTTTGTTAAAGTACGAGAAAATGATCTTTTTTGTTCTTTTTAGTGTGTGTAAGCTTTTTAATAGGCAAATATTTTCGTTTTTTTTTTTTGTTTTTTTTTTTTTTTTAGATTTTTGTAAATTGTAGAGATTTAATACATAAAGAATTAAAAAACTTTAATATTAGATGAAATATCAGTTTTAATAAAATTTGGATTCACTGGGCCAGAAAAGCTGAAACTTTTGTGGAAGCATCCTGGTATAGTGTAGATTCTAAATTAATGGGGAATCAAAGTTTTACATAGAAATATATAGGAAAAATCTTGGAAAATCTTCTTCTCAAGAACCACTGGGCCAGTAAAGCTGAAACTTATGTGGAGGCATCATGGTATAATGTAGATTCTAAATTGTTCAAATTGGGGAACCAAAGTTTTATATAGAAATATATAGGAAAAATCTTTGAAAATCTTCTTCTCAAGAACCACTGGGCCAGAAAAGCTGAAACTTATGTGGAAGCATCCTGGTATAGTGAAGATTATAAATTGTTCAAATCATGATAGGGCGGGGCCACTTCAAAGTTTTATATAGAAATATATAGGAAAAATCTTTGAAAATCTTCTTTTCAAGAACCACTGGGCCAGAAAAAGTGAAACTTATGTGTAAGCATCTTGGGGTAGTGTAAATTCTAAATTTTAGAAATCATGACCCCCAGGGGTAGGGTAGGGCCATTATAGGGAATCAAAGTTTTACATATAAATATATATCATACTGGGCCAAAAAAGCTGAAACATATGTGCCCATGGAAGCATCCTGGGTAGTGTAGATTTTAAAATGTCTAAATTATGATCAGTGGGGTAGGGTGGGGATACATTATGTATAACAAGGGTAAAATCTGGTAAAGAACAGAATGGTCAAAGCTTCTCAGGTGAGCGATGTGGCCCATGGGCCTCTTGTTTTTTTTTTAGATTTTTGTAAATTGTAGAGATTTTACATAAAGAATACTTTAATATTAGATGAAATATCAAATAAAATTTGGATTCAATTGAGATTAATGCACTATAGGCACTTCGCCAGCCCCCATCTTCTTTCAAATGTCAGAAATTCATACTATATTCAATTGAATAGAAATCTTTGAAAACTTTAATCTAAAAGATATTCTTCAGAAATTGAACTTTTCCTCAGAAAAAGCCAGATAAAGAATAATATTTTGCACTATATGTATCAACAATATCGCAGAATATATAGTTTTGTCTTGAATAGATAGAAAAATATGTGAAGATGCCACGCCAAATTGCAACAAATACCTGGAATTGGATCCAAAAGCATGTGAAAATGACGAGTTTGAGTGGCATACCTGTCCAAAAACGTGTGGATACTGCGATAATGTACAAGGTTTGGAAACGTGAAAAAATAATTTTTTTTCTCCTGTCATACTGTATTTGGTGATATTTTTTAAATGAAGGAGACGGTCTTAAGTCTTATCAGCTTTAAATGAACATAAGATAATTTTTTTTCCGAAAATGAAGACAACTGTGTTATACCAAGCGTGTCTACTGAGAGCAATGCGGAAATTGTCACAAGTGCTGGCGCTCTTGGAATAGGAGACGTGTTGGAATACAGATGTAAATCCGGATTCTCTCACACTGACGGAAGTCTCCACAGAGCATGTCAAAGAAGTGGGACATTTTCCGGTTCACCACCAGAGTGCCAAAGTAAGATACAAGCATTTTTATAATAACCCTCTCCTTCATTTGTTTTGTCGGACCAAGGTCAAAGAAATGTCAATTTGAATCTTGCAAAAAGGGGTTATTATGATATTACAGGTTCTAGTACTGTTCCTGAACCAAACAATGATGCTCCCTTGGTACAACTTCGCCGAAATCATTACACAAGATACTCCTACACGGGCCTAAATGAAAACATGAGCATCAAAAAGAGCGGGAAGATTGTCAAATGGCGTTTTTTTACTGAGACGAAGGGAACTTTCGGTCTTCAAGTCTTGAGGCCAACCTCAGTAGACAAAACGTTTGTATATTCTAGTAAAAAGCTTGTACTTTAGGGTAAAATCAATCAGGTTCCCTTTATTCTATTAATTTTATTTGGAAGAGGGGATCCTTAATACCTTTAGAGACAAGAAATCTCACCATTGGTGCTTCTAGGGCCTCGTGTGTTTGACATGTTCATGATACATTTGTTTTATTTGATTGATGAGTAAAAAAACAATTAATAGGAATTCAAAAACATTGTTTTAGTTTGAATTTGGGAGTTGGGGGTACTGACGGAAGGTGGTGAGGAATGCGCACTTTTAAAACATGTTTTCTAAATTATTTTTATTAGAAAACTTTTATAGCTTTTGAAACCAGAATTGACTAAGCATATGATTCAGTTCTGTCTTACTGTATTAATATAGATTCACTCTGATTGGTCAAAACGAAGTAACAGAAACCTATGTCGGTGGAATTAATACATACGAAGTTCCGGTGGAGGACCAAATTGAGGTGAAGTCAGGGGACTTAATTGCTATCTTCCCCCTCCAAGGAGTGATTCCTTATGATACATGTAACGAGGCAGTGGAAGGGGAAACATATGGGTCACCTCTGATGTCGGTGAAGAAAATTTATTCCTTATCTGGTTGGGATATTTCGACCGATTACACATTCAAGGAAGTGAAAGACACATGTAGAATTGTCCCCGTTACTGCCTTTATCCAGTAGATAAGCTATATACTTGCCTTAGTCGTATACATGTACTGGATAAGGACAGGCGACACTTTTCTGTTTTGTTTTTCATTTGTAGTTTTCTTTCCTCTTCAAATGTACGAATATATTTCATATGGAACGATTTTCCTTATTTAGAATTTATTCAAATCTTTTCATGGTAAACGACTTGAAAACTAAATCTTTTTAATACATTGCAATAATAATATAGATAACATTTTCCTTTGTATGAAAAGTAGAATAAAATCACATCATTAAACTTTGTTTAAGATAAACTAATGAGTGTTAAATTAATACAGTGTTTTGTGTTTTTTTTTAGAAGAAGGTAGAATTCAAAATGAAAATATGTGTGAAAAAATTATATTAGAATATACAAGAACATTTACAAGAACTTATTCAAAGACACTCTATGTCATAATACATGCATAGTTCCGGGCTAGAGTCTTTTGCATACATATAGGTACTAACTGTTCCTTCGTTATAAGCATTTCATTCAGAAATGAAAGGTAAGGTATTTTTTTTGGATGTTACTTTTAAAAACCACGTGTAAAGGAGGATGTCAATACGTTTGAGAACCTGTTAAAGCAATGTATAGACGCAATGTGTGGCATGTTTATCTAGAGAAAGTTAAATTTCTTCATGAATGGAAAATTCTAAGAGTTTATGAGAGGTTGAGAAGGATCAAAATATCATCCTGGTATTTCTGCATTGAATTGTTTTCCCTGAAATCAGGGCCCAGAATCAAACCAATAAATCTAAAAATAAAAATAAATACCAAAACACAGATCGCCACTGATATTTTCATGAAAAAAGTCGTGGCTCCTCTTAGAAAAAATACAATCTTTTATACGCACGATTTTAAGAATTTTTGTTGATATAATAACATATTACATTGTATTTAAATAATCGAGGAGAGTATTCCTCTATTGTCATTGACTTTCTTCTGAAAAAAAATTAATTCCTATTTATTGCAGTTGTATTTGAAGGTTAAAATTCTAAAAAGGGATGTAAATATTCTTCATCCAGATTGTTTCTTTTATCCCGGAAATTGAAACGTTGAACGTGTTATACCGTTCCACTAGACGTCATTAAAGAAAAAAAAATATACACAAAATATAAGTTAATCAAACATATACTAGCTGTATACACTTACAAATATTTGTCAGAGATTCGAAACGTCTAAGTACACACAGGGCTACACATACAAGGTTACGAGATACATGTACAGGTAGTTTGTCCGCGGCCACTTCACCTTAAAAATTTTCCAGCGAATTAGCAAGATATTATGATAAATACCCGAGCGCCGAAAAACACACACTTTTGGAATAAATTTTACTCATTTTGAATAAATTTCTTTTTATCTCAGCAAAATTGTATGTTTCTGTAATATTATTACCTGTAAATTTTAGTCTTAGAGAAAAAATGTCTTTATTTTCACTTAGATATTAATTTATTGTTTATATATTTTCTAACAGTATGACACATAAATGTGTCAGCTTTTGTAAGATTAGGTAAATCTTTTTTCTTTTTTTTACTTTTCAAACTTTAAGATCACTGTGTCTTTGAAAACATTGTGGCTATCCTCTCCTTAAAATAACGGATCATGTCACATTGAATGGCTCAGATGATTGTTCAAAGCACAAAATGTATATGAATCAAATCCATAAAAGAAACGGGAGTCAGCTTTAGAAAATGATTTGTTTTAAATTCATATACATTTTCATAATGTATGTATGAGAAAAAATAAAGAAATATTGAATTGTCAGAAAGTATATAAACGCACAGGCTATAACATTTTGTATAAGGAATCGGAAAATGTATCTTAAAACTTGATTTTATTCAATGACTAGTTTTTTTTCCATTAGAAAGGCATAATGACTGTATTTTTATACGTCATTTACATTAAGAAAACCCAGGGATTGCCTACTGTAAATTTACGTCTTTTTGTAAAAAAAATTTAAGGAAAAACTCCCATGGACAGACTTCTAGGCGAGACATTATTAATGATTTTATGATAAAGATTAATATTTAATTTAGTTGCCTTTTACTATAACTTTATTAATATTCACTAGTATAGATTGTTCATCATATAGATGTATAAAATACACTTTTATATATATATATATATATATATATATATATATATATATATATATATATATATATATATATATATATATATATATATATATATATATATATATATATATATATATATATATATATATATATATATATATATATATATATATATATATATATATATATATATATCGGTATAGAATTTTTCTCCCATAGATATCCTCCTATAAATTACTTGATGTACGTTTCGTACATGTATAATATGTGATTATGATATATTACCCTGAAATGAGTACAGGTTATATAAACCATTAACCACAAAAAATGAAACTTTCACAGAGTTAATCATCCCTGTAGATTACACAATACAAGTAGAAAGCAACGATTGTGCTCCAATGGTCCCAATTTAAGTTCTGTTCCACTAACTTTTATTTCGGTTGCAAGACAGCAGGTAGACACAGGACCAACGCGTTGAGGCTAATAAGATGCAGGTCGTTTGTCCAACCGCTTTGTGCTCTCTATTTATAATTGTGCGTTGGACATCAGCTGGGCATAGTGGACACATGAACGACACAAATCGAGAACTTTTGGAAAATTTGTTGCGTGCTTTGAATCAAGATGTTGGACAACAACAAAAGGTAAATTATTGTACAGTTATACAACTTGATAAGTTTTTCTTTGGATTTGAGCAAATGATATTTTCCCTTTTAGTACAGTCGATACGTTCCTTAATAAAATGTAAATTTCCCCAAGATTTTGACATTGAAATATTGCTACTTATACATGTTTACTAAAAAAATATTGAGGTACCTTATAAATTACCAGGCATTTGTGCAAGATAACAGAGGGTAGTTTTCCTTATATAATCCTTTTGGGGGAAAATAATTTTCCAATATCAAATTTTTTAGTGTTTCGATTTTTTAAAGCTGTTTAGAAACTGGTTTAGAAACTAGAATGTAATTAATTTTTTTCATACATTACGAAGATATACAAAACATAAACTGATGAACGTTTCGTCTGATCTTAAAAGCTGTAAAAAAAAATTACCTTAATTATAAATTCGTGTTTTCAAATTCGTTACACTTTGGTCATATTTTATCATTTAAGAATCCACTAAAGGCAATTCTGCATTAAGGTTCTGTACATGTATTAAGGTTCTCCATCGCTAATAGGACATTATTCTCATTCCTTAAATATCCATCACGTACCGGGGTATATATTATAATACCCTTATAATAATTCAAAGCATTTTACAGTAGAAAAGGATTAACCAAGAAAAAGTTTCAAAAATGTAATTAACTATGCAGTGATTGATTAATGAATTCAAATTTTAATGAATTTTTATATATTTTCTGAAACAAATAATTACGAGTAATATATCAGACTGAATAGATATTTATTGACTGTCGATATGCATATGATATGGATATGCTAATCTTTTGACTAAGGAAAATGCAATGTAACAAGTACAGCAAACGCCTAATGCCCGGTTGGTGTACGGGGTATGCATTTGCACTAAATTTGTTTTCACAAACACAAATAAATGTAGTCAATAGAAATGTTATTATAAGACAATAAAACGTGTCTTTCCATAAGATATTTTGTTTAAAGGTCTAATAGAGATCAACAATGCAACATCAAAACAATCTACCAGATGACATGAAAACTTTATCTACAATAAATGAAAAGCTAAATTAATGCAAAGCATTAAATCGACTGCAAAAATCATATATAGCATTCTAAAATATTTCCACAAGAAAGAATCCAAAGAAAAAAAGGCAAGTAGGAAAGTATATGATACATTATGTTTTCACTTGCTTTACTGTTCTGTGTAATTTTTACACTTTGATTTCACGTGATCATTTGTAAAATATTAATAAAAATAATTAATTGGACTGATATTATTATATTATTTGATCTAAGACAAATGCAACAGGTACCTGAATGCTGATAAAAACGATAAAAAAAACTCGAGGTACTGTGAGCAATGAACTCGCTAAATGATCCTTCCCGCCTTCTATATGAATATAATGGCAGTGTCAATATTTTTTCTATGGGAAACCCAAAATATGTGTCATATCAAAAAGTAAAATAAAAGGTGCACAATGGCATTATGTAATAAAGATTCTTTGAAAGTTTCATCAAATTTCATTCAGTGGTATAAGAGTTTCGGATAAGAGATGTGTACCCCAAAGCGTAACAGACTGACGGACGGACATCCCGATTACTATATACCCACCCGCTTTTCAAGCAGGGGGTATAAAAAAGCGTACACGTAGTTACGTACTGATACGGATTGTTGTTACCTGCTTGATAATGCAAACCAGTGTTACATATCACAATAAATGGAAAAGGCAGGGGAAAAATCATTTGTAATTCTAATGTGTTCTAAAAAAATTAAGTTTTTGTTAAACATTTTTACTTATTATAATTTTATAAACATTTTACTTATTATTTTAGACACTGTTATTCGTATCTGGAATACGTTTGATTTTACATCTTAAGCATACGCAGGTTGGGGAGCAGTTCATGTAACAACTTTTTATAAACTCATAAATAAAAAAATATCTGAAGAGAAATGGAAAACAAACTGAAATGTTATAATTGTCAATTAGACTAAATTCTAAGCTAATTTTAAAACTTTTATTGATATCTTTTACGCATGTTTTCTGTAGGGATTATCCCATCGCAGCAATGCAAAGAATAACGTCTCATTTCCCTGAGTGCACATTCTAACACAATTACAAATAGATCAGCCAATGCTGCGGCCGATAATGAAAGAAAAAAAAACTCATTTATGTTTCTTTTTCGAACCAGAACCTCTTGCTGTAAGGAACCTTGGTTTATACACTGTTCAATCTCATCCGAAGGACTGGATTAAATTGATTTAATCAAAAAGAATTGTTTTAGAATATAATTAAGCGGTTAGCTAGCTAACCGCTTTATGGCATGGGCTCTAAAAAACCGGAAACTTCCATAAGGCGCTACCTATCGACATCGCTTTATCGCACGTAACCTTATCCTTCTGCAACCAAAACCGGAAACTTCCACAAGGCGCTACCTATCGACAACGGTAACTTCAGCAAAGCGCTTCCTATGATTTGTATACTGTTGGCGTAATACGCCCCCTGGTGAGAGATTGACAATATGCTGTGTA